GTGTTACTCGTTTTCTACCACTTTTTGTCGCATGCGCGCTTCAACAAGAAGGCAGAGAACGGCTTTGACGGTGTGAACACTCATACTGCCTGACACGCCCAACCGTCCGCAGCGAACTAGAGTATACCTCTCGGCAACTCTGTTCGTCTCTGAACCTTGGCCTTTCTGGGGAAGGGATACAGGAGCACAGCCTAAGCGCCGTTTGGCGCTCCCTTATATATGCTATCAATGAAGCAAATAAATGTTGAACGCTCTTTAAGGGGTATGTGACAAGAGAATCGTAATTCACCGCGCTGTGGGCGTCGCGTGCGACGTCGCACCGCAAATGACGATGGTTCCAGGTAGTAGATGGCGACAACAGGCAATTCAGAACCGAAAATAGTCATGAATGTCTACGATGACGGGGTCTACATGAAGTCCGGTGCTCCAATCGACAGGTTAACACGAGTTAAGAAAACGCCGCGCCCATCGCCGCGCGCGGCGAGCGGCAAATTACGATTCTCTTGCCCGTCTCCCATTATTTGGTGGACACCCGCATGGTCCGCACAATCTTACCATGGCCCTTGAGCCCAGTCTTTCAGCACCTCATGCTCAATTTCTAACGATACGAATGTTGCAGTGGAGGTTGTACTGGTCAGCCCCTCAGGCTTAATTTCCAACGATACGAATGTTGCAGTGGAGGTTGTACTGGGAGGTATAATAATTGTTCATAAAACGACATCGGTCTGTACGGCTCACGGACGTGTGTTTTAATGTGAACGGCATACTAGTAACGAACTCCATTAAAAAATTTTACTCACTCGTCTCTGTTAATTTTATCTAAAAGCGTACGAAATGACTACCGGAACAAATAAATCACAACAGAAAACCAAATTTCTTACAAAAATCGAGAATCAACAGTACTAGACTTTTGTACATATTTTACAACTTTTTGCTCTCAGTACTTCACTACCAAAGAGTTTCAGAACATTACAAGCATGATGGTTTACAACAAATATTGACGTTCTAGTGGCTAGTATTAGGTCGTTGCAAAAGAAATGCAGGATTTTGCTTGCTTGTATTTCATACTTATTTTATTCCAATAAAATGTTACTTTAATATGAAGTGTTATATACTATTCGGAAGCTCATCTCATGCTCTTTCTAAATGATACTCCAAGATTGGTTGTAATTCATTTTATTATAATTTTTATTGACATTTTATTGCAGATGTCGAAACGTGAATTTCGCACTATTTTCTTCTATGAGTTCAAGCTAGGCCGAAACGCTGCCGAGACAGCTCGAAACATTAACGAAGTTTGGGGTCAAGGAAGTGTCAACGAATGTACGGTCCAACGTTGGTTCCAGAAGTTTCGTTCTGGCAACACCAGCCTTGAAGATGAACCTCATGTTTGGTGGTCTGCCGCCGGTCTCATCCATCACAGCTTCCTGAATCCTGGTGAAACAATTACGGCAGAGAAGTACTGTCAACAAATCGACGAAATGCATCAGAAGCTTCAACGCATGTGCCCAAGGTTGGTCAATACCTATTCTTCTCCACGACAATGCCCGACCACACGTGTGCTCGAACACAATGCTCGACCCTCCAGAAGTTAAACGAATTGGGCTATGAAACTCTGCCTCATCCACCATACTCACCAGACCTGTCGCCCACCGATTACCACTTTTTCAAGCATCTGGACAACTATCTTAAAGAGAAATGCTTCAAAAAACCAAGACGATGTCAAAAACGCCTTCAACGATTTTGTGGCCTCTAAAAAGAATTACAACCAATCTTGAAGTATCATTTAGAAAGAGCATTAGATAAGCTTTCGAATGATATATAACACTTACATTTTATTGGAATAAAATAAGTATTAAATACAAAAAAAAACGAAATCCTGCATTTCTTTTGCAACGACCTAATAGTAGAGTGCCCACAGTGTCCATCAATTGTCACTGCTAGTTTCTACACGTTTCAATGGAACGATTTTTGGAATCTTTTCAGCTCAAAGATATCTGAAGGATGAAAGCTAGACAAATCGCTCCCTAAATGTGGACATATAATTTTTCGCTTTGTTTTCTTTATTTCTTATACAGAGAAAGGAGAACCTGTATCATTTCACCGTTAGATCAGGAGTGGGGGGGGCTGAGTTTTCCAAGGCGTCAGCCAATTTTAGCTCAATCGTTGTCGTTGCTCGCTTCAACAATTATTATAGAACGAGTTAGCGCCGCGCCAAACCCAGCCCACACCCTCCCCTCTTTGACACGCCCCACCATCCGCAGCGAACAAAACAGTAGATGAATGACACAGAACGACGCAATCTTCCCGAAAAAGAAAAACATGGGCGTTTACATTTTGAATGCTTCGCTTACGCTCTAATCTCTTATCAATCAAAGAACGTAACGAATACAAATAGCTTAACATCGTGATTTCCGTACGAACTCCTTCCAGGTTCTTCTCTGCGAACAGTTTGCTCAGTTCCTGTCAAGAGATTATTGATCTCCTTCTGCACAGAATCCATCTCAGATGTCAGCTCCTGTGCGCTACTCATTTCTGCCACTCGTTCATTCCGCTCCATCATATCCATCAAAAACGACGGGTCCATATCTTTGCCTGTAAGTAATTAGGATTGTAAGGAAGACAACCTTTAGCAAAAACAAATGAAAACCGTTCACAAGTTTACACCAATTGGAGCCCCCCCCCCTCTCTTGAAGAGCAAATCCACAAAACAGACCAAAGACAAGTTTCACACTCACCTTCGTAGACGGCCCTTTCCATGTGCGAGGAGAACGGGTCCGCGGCTGCAGTGGCGTGCCATTTTCTCCACGTTAAAGTGCACGGGAACGTGGCTGAAGGGTAATGATACCGTCTCCATATCTCCCCCGAGCTATCCCCGATGTACAGCGTTCGATACCTCAGTCCCTGCGAAAACGCACTCAGCGGCAGAGAACAATTAAAGTGATGGGGCGCAGACAATTGGCGCTTTTGGCTATGGTCAGGCGAGCGGCCCGCCGAGCAGCAGCGAGGACGGAGTATGGAAGTGACACACTTGGGAATCTCCCCTTCGTCCCGTTCCCGAGCACTTTTGAGCGGAGAAAGTGGCACGTTACTGCAACTGCGGATCCGTTCACCTCGTACTCGCTCGTACTTGTTGGGGGCTAAGATCACCATAGATGGATTGTAAAAATGAATTCATGGACGGAAAGCCTCTATTGAAAACTCACTGGTAGCGTCAGTCTCTCCTAAAATTTTCAGTAAATATTTGGCCCGGAGAAGTGGTTCGGATAGCGTTTTATAAGACTCATTCAGCCTCCGTGAGTGCTCGTCGGATATCTCTTTTTCATGTTCTGAAGCTTGAGCGAATTTGTCTGGATGCAGTTGAAACTGCATTTCACGAAACCTGAAGAAAGACTTAAAGACACATAGTACGCTATACACATTGAGGGTGTATGAGACTATCAGCCCCCCAGATGTCGATGTGTCGTGGTCCCCCCGCCCAAACATGCCCAGGAATGGAGATACAGGGCCGTGAAACACGCTAATTCTTCCATGCTCCGCCCACTGCCTTTTTACGGCGCAGATTCCCGCCGTTCATAACATCCGTCGTAAGCGCGCCTGTCGCGTGCGGCTCCTTGGCACTTTGCCAAGTCCTTTAATTGCGCTCTCAAATACAAGTAAAACGCAATTTCCTGATGCGGATAACATTGGAGGTGCTACAAAATAAGAGCAGAAGATGATGACGAGGGTCAGAACTTAAAAGCAACTGTGCCACTTCTGCAACATCCCTCGGAGGCCACGTATTTCCACGAAACATGAAAATAAAAACGGCATACTCGTTAGTTTAATACAAGCAAGACGCAATTTCCTGATGCGAATGAAATTTTAGGTATTGCTCATGCATCAAAATCCATGAGAGAGATGACAGTACACAGGCTAGATAATGAAGTTACAAGGAAGGCAAATTAGATAAACTGGCCTGTAAATTTCTACGATCCGGCGCCAAAGCCATAGAAATACTTAGAACAAACGAGTGGGACGCTTGGCTGTTTTTATTTTCATGTTTTGTGGAATGCGCGGCCCTTGATGGATACTGCAGATGCAGCCGAGTTGCTCTTGAGTTCTGCCCCTTGTCATCATCTTCTGCTCTTATTTTGTAGCACCTCCAATGTTATCCGCATCAGGAAATTGCGTTTTCCTTGTATTTGAGAGCGCAATTAAAGGACTTGGCAAAGTGCCAAGGAGCCGCACGCGACAGGCGCGCTTACGACGGATGTTATGAACGGCGGGAATCTGCGCCGTAAAAAGGCAGTGGGCGGAGCATGGAAGAATTAGCGTGTTTCACGGCCCTGTATCTCCATTCCTGGGCATGTTTGGGCGGGGGGACCACGACACATCGACATCTGGGGGGGGGGGCTGATAGTCTCATACACTCAAAGTGTATGAGCGTACCATGTGTCTTTAAATGAATCTTGGTGAATCACTGCAAGTACCAGCTCACTTTTTCTTCAGCACAGAGTCCTCGATCTCGAATGATACCGGCAATCCCAAATATTCAAACAAATTTTGAGTCTCAGGAGGTGGCTGTATAAGATGACCTCGAAAAAAAACAGAATTTGTACAAGAGAAAATAAAAATATTTCGGTGCGATAAAATCTAGAAGCTATCAATCAACTTCGTTCAACTTTTAACCCTTACTTCTCAGCGCTCATTTATGAAGAGAACAAAACGATCCGAAAAGCAATAGAGTGGGAGCAACTGCCACTGGACGCGCAACCTAGATCGCTAGGGTTGTCGCTATAGCTCAGGGCAGTAGTGATGATCCTTAGTCACTGACCGTCGTGATAAACAACAGTAACAAATACTCACAATTATTACAAAAAAATTGCTTGGTACACTGCACAGCATCACTGCAATTCCAGCAATTCGTCTCCTCTGGACGACCACAGTCCGACACTATTTTTCCACATGATCGCCAAGCTTGACATGAGGATCTGAAAATTAATGATGAACATATTCGATCAGAAATTGTAGAGTTGAAGAGTTTGCAACGCAACAAGTCCTCTAGGAGGGGCACTTCGAAATTGCGGCAAAATATCAGTCAATTTTGTAAAGAGCTGTAAACTCATGTAAAGCAACGAATTGGTACCAGTTTACTGGCAGCCATTTCTCCAGTTTTCTTTTTTGAATGTTAGACGGCGCTGGACCATGAGAAGAACTTCCCCCTGTGGTGAGGAAATGAGCACTTCCGTCTGAGCCTCATAGGGATGAGTGAATGAACCAATTCCCCTAGGCGAAAAGGTTTAAGCATTTTGTGAGAAGTGGTTTACAGCCTGGGGCCTCAAGGGTCACAATGATTTCCTCGCAGCGTGCCCCCTCCCCCTACCTTTCCTAGCTTATATTACACTTTTCCTGATACTGTTGTCGTATAAGAAATGTATTCGGAAGCAGTTTGGATTGGCAGGGGCATACTGCTGGCTCGCATCGATCACTGCCGATGGCTCTGATGGAGACCTGTGAATTCCTTCGGAGCTTGCAATAGAATAAACTTTTTTTGCAACTGACAAGAGGGTACATCTTAAAAGGTGAGGCGTGTAGTTCAAGGGTAAGCTAGCAGAAGTGCAAAATGCGAACAGCGCTCAGATTCGTTCTCTCCCGTAGCTTGGCAAGAGTTCAAATACCTTACAGCGGCCCGTTCCTCTAACCAAAGTTTACAAAATGGTTCTGTTCAATTGACAGCAATTCCAAAACGCCCCGTCATATTGCACAAGGCATGGTGCAGTGGGTTATCACTGAACTCAGTCTGGCGTGTCAGCTGAGCGTGAGCAGTGGCGCGGTGCCAGGCAGCGCCAGCGCCACTTCCTATGCGGCTTCGTGCGTTCAAAGAGTGGTGAGAAAATGACTGGTGCTGCGCTAAAAACCTTACCCTGCTGACACGCCCCGAGTGACATGCGATGACAAGTGTATTTTATGCTGGTTATGACGATATCCTACTATATATAATCCGCTAAGTCTGTTGGTAGATACGTTTGTGTGCGTTTGACCGGAAATTCATAACTTTCTTTGATTTAGACATAGAAAGTTCAAATTGATAAGTGATATAGTGGGTGCGACTGGAACATTATTGGTGGGTGACAGAAAGTGATAACAACTGATATGAGCTGACAAGGAGCGCTAGAAAGGGAGGGTCACGAAATTCATAGCGCCGGTCCCAGCAACGGTGCGACGTTGGTTCCAGGACATGGTATAGGGAGGGCATGGGGCAGGAACACTATTGGTGGGTGACAGAAAGTGATCGGTACTGATTGCTTCTATCAGTTGCTAAGATTATATAAGAAGTTACCTTCACTTCGTTCTTCACCACAATACTTCTAAGTATCGGTGCAAGCTGAGTGTTTAGTGAACTTAGTAATTCAATCTTTCACTGTCGAGCGGAGGGCATATTATGCGTGTGAGATGGGAAAAACCAGAAATCTCCCAATCAAAAAAGAGAGTTATGTTGCGCTTCCTGCTGTTCTAGAGAAGACTGATATTTTAGGAGAGACATATTGCTCCAAAACTGTAGGACTGACAGAGGTCATCGAGGTCTATGGTACAGTGGTTCGCTCTGTTGCGATTGATAGTTCCCACTCTCTCCTATTCTTTACTTCACGTCAGGCGCACAGTACTGTACGCCAGCCAAACCAGTATTGACATGCACCCTGAAGGCAGCACGAACCAGAATGAAGGCATCGCACTTACCGTAACATAGAGGAACGAGATGCAATCGATAGTGAAACTCCTAGAGCTGCTCTCGCCATCTGAAAGACCCTTACATCAAAACAAGTCTCCCATAAAACATAAATAAGCTTAAGTCAAGAAATATAGACGTGGAGACAAGGTGACTGAAAACCCTGTGAGCGTTCCTAGAGCGTGTGTTCCTATGTTTCCACGTGCTAAACTGCACGTTTCGAGATTGCACGTGCCCGTTTTTTAGATCTCTTGCGTGCTGCGAATATATTGGATTCCTCTTTGTCAATATCGCAGAAATAGAAAAACGTCGGTGTACGATATTAGTGCTGAACGTTGACAGACACTGAAGAATTGTTTATCAAAATAACACACATAATGAAGAACAGCGCATACACTCAAGTCCAAATGTCACTGACAAAATGAGGATCATATTTAGAACACAACAACACATCAACAACTTCCAACGACAGTCACTAGCCACAAGTTTTACTTCTTAGCATAGTCGACCTTCATATGTTGTTCCGGAGTAATCTTGAAATTATTAAGAGCTATTCTGGCAGGTGCGGCCAATTCTTCCGATTCAAATTCAACAAAAGCGATGCCGGATCGATTTGGCACCAACCGAATGTCCTTCAGACCAGGGAACCTGAAAAAAAGGGATAAGCGCTGAAAATGAGCACACGACCAAGTATCTTTCATCAAAACTCACTGATTGAACAGAATTTGAAGCATGTCAGTGGTAGCTTCATCGGGTAGATTTGTGCAGAACAAGATTTTATTGGGTGGTGCTGGTCCTTCGTGATCTCCACCTCTTCCAGCTCCCTTGGCACCCTGTAATTTGCATCAGCGAATACGATAAGGTTCCCTGACGCGCGTAGGTTCTATTTCTTTGAAACGTCTAAAACAAGCCATACCTTCTTCTTCTTCTGAGTACGAATGGGAGCTCTAACAGCTCTTTCGACATATGTTCCTTTAGCTTTAGCAATCACGTCCGAGTCTTCACGTGCGTATTGAATTCGCTAAATAATTATCTTTTGCACTATTTCATAGCGTATGAGTCGAAAAAACACTACTGTAAACTAACCATCGGTTTGTCGTAGAATGGGAATCCTTGCATAGCTCGCAATGCGTTTGACGCCGAAGAAATCTTAAAACACTACTGAGGATCAAGGAAACGACTAATAACAAAGTAATATTGACGGCATCAGCAAGATGTCAGAAATCACATAAAAAGCCTATTAATGTAACGCGCTTTCAGTCTACGTAAGTGGCCCCATGGCATGTTTTAGCAGATCAATGTGCGCCTCGCAGTAAATTTTAAATGGAAAAGGTTGCAAATAAAAAAAGAAATAGGCATAATCTGGAAAAACAATACCATGCAGCGTAAAGCACGCGTAGACTGGCAATGTTTTTCATGATTCTACAGGTCTTACCAAAGTGTAATTCTGACAAGAACTGGCAAAGAAGCAAACTAAAGTGCAAAATGCCCTTCTCAAGCTGAGCGGTGCTTAGGGCTAGGTTTTTACCAATCATTCAGAATCATAGGACCTCTCCAAAGCGATCTGCCTATACATTGACTGATGCCCGTGCAGGTTTTCTGTCTTCCCAAAGAGCTTTTTTTACTAATTAACCAGGCCCAGACGGTAAAAGGCACGGCTGTTCCGTGTGTGGGTCAGTCCGAAAGCTGAGCCCAGATCGGGAGCGTGAAATGGGGTGCCACTTGACAGTGCTCCTCGCTGCCCAGGCTAAGACGCTTCAGGGGTCTGGGTTTGGAGTGGCGCCAACGTTCTCCAGCAACTGTGGGGGCTGGTAGGTGGTGGGAAAGTTGCTGGCGCCGCGACAAATTTAATCCTCCCCTAAGCCACAGCGTTCGCAGCGAATAGGACTTTATCAGTACGAGGTTCGCTCTTTTGCCTTATATTAGAAACATAACAACCTCACACTCACCTCCTTGAAAATAATGTGTGCCTGTCCTCGCATGCGCAGCGTCTTGAATGACATAATACTGACAATCTCACCGAACTGCGTGAAAATAGCGTGCAACGCTTTCTTCAGCTCTAAAATAGAATGGAAATTCTGTCAGAATTCGATCAAAAATCGGGAACAAAGGCACTAACCATCCTTTTTGATTTTCTCGTTGAGGTTGTTGATGTAGATGGTATGGTTGGGCTTAATGTCAGCCATAGTTGTGCTACAAATAATCATAAGAGCATGCAGTAAGACGCACATGTAAAACAGCAGGATATTGCCAGAAATGTGGCGTGGTCAAAGACCAAGTGCTACATCGATCGAACTAACACATTCACGATGCGTTTATTCCAGAGAACTTCTACAGACAATCAGTAAGCATGTGAAAGCAATGCGACAAGAATACACACTCAATTGCCACCAAGACCTCTGTCAATCACGCTGAAAAGAGTAGGAGCGAGAGAAATCTATGAAGTTGCACGATTAAAAGCACATTTGGCAACATCTACAATATCTACATATGTACAAGTAATTCATACACGGAGAAGCAACCGTAGGGATCTCGAAACAATCTTTGTTCGACTAGCTATTTTGTGTCGATCAATAATATTACGCAAATTTCAACCAAGTTTTCACGAATAGGATTGGGCTGACCAGAAACGGACATAAAATCAAACTTGCTCTTCTTTGTCAGGCGTTAGCTTTACGCGGTACGACCGCTTTTCTCGTTATTCCGTAGAATTTCGGCGGATTATATCGCCGTGAGGTGAACTCCCATCCCAGATGGTCCATACAGAAACGACATTCGATGATTTGCCACTTGTAGCTATAAATATATCTCAAATGACTCACAAAAAAAGAAAAATATGGATGCTTACCCAGGAAACCAGCTGAATTTCGCACAAGGCTGATCTCGAGGAACGAAGTTCTGTGCAAGTGATACGGTCACCATCTCGTGAATGTAACCCGCTGAATAGGCAAAAATAGCTATATACAACTGTTAACTAGTAATAAACAACAATGTGACGTCATTGAGAAACCATGAAAAACCAGTCGCGAAAAGGATGCTTGAGAACCATCGAAGCGGTGATAACGAGTGTAATTGGTATTCGCATCATTTATTATAAGAAAAAGGGGCACACATGCCTTTCAAAAGTCTCATCTTGATCTTTGAAGTCAAAAAGATCACGAACAAAAGGAGCTAAACGGAGCGAAGGAGGAAAATGTGGAATAGGGTTCAGTGATCAATAAACCGCTACCCTAGGGCAACTATGGCAGGTCAATTGACTAGGGAGCGATATCCTGAGCACTTCCAATGGGAGCAATTACATGTGCACCATGGGAGACCTGAGACCTAGGTCATTTCTTCATTCACTACATAGAAGGAATGGCAGCCCGAGGGATCACCGTTTCCATTTTCTTTGTCATTTCCATCTTTCATCTGTATTTTCATATCGACGTCCCAAAGGAAGGCCGATCCCATACTTTGCGACTTAGAGAATCAGGAGAACGGGAGAATCGGCGATTCGCCACAGTTCGGTTTTATAGGGGCACCCGATGGTACTCAACTAAGGTTCTTCAGTTCACATTGTGAAGACTTGTAAATTGAAATGAACAAAGTTGTCCACCCGAACAGATTCACTGCTTCACAGGAGCTCACAGGTCTGATCAAAGTGAGAGATGTTAGTTAATATGTAATGGTAATCCTATCAAAGTGCAAGATGTCCCCCCTAAACCGAACAGATCCGGCGATGCGACGCTTCTGAAAATGCGCGCCAAAAGAAGTATAGATATCGACCTAGTGACTTGAAAGAACAAGGGAATAGGCGAACGTGCGCTAACAACTACCATATACTACTTTGACGCGAGTTCTCCTGAAATTTGACAAGCCGATTTTCCTATTCTTCCAAGTCACCAGATCGATCCCTAACTTTTCTTTGGCGCACTCTCCGTGAGTCGAGTCGCTGACTCTCCTATACTCCTGAGCCGCAAATTATGAACGTGGCAGACTATATGTTTGGGCCAAAACATTTGGATGGGGTCCGATAAACTATCGGCAAAGGGGCTGCTTTGGCTTAGTCGAAGTTTACTTCGAATGAAAGTGCGGCACATCTCAAAAGAAGGAGAGATGCGGTGCACTAACTAAATGCAATAGTAAGTACTACTTACCGCTGTTCACAAAGTGAGAACTCGTCCCTTCACTATTCATGTTAACAATGTCACGAACGCTGCAAATTAACAAGCCACATCCCCGACACACTAGATCAGTCATCTGAAAAAAATTATCACATAACGCTAGTAAGGGTAGGGAAAAGTTGAGCGCAGTTCGGTTTGGGGGAAGGGGGCATTTTGCACATTCGCTATCATGACGAGCCGTTAGAAATAGACTGTGGAGCCCGGTGGGGCCATGAAGGTATTACCACAGAGAGTTCGTAGGAACTGCCTGCTAACTCTTGTAAGGAATATCTTTCTTGGTGAAACAGCGAAGATGACGATGGCAAGTAGCGAACATGCAAAATGCC